GTGCTCCCCACGCACACCATGTCCGGGGAGGGGACAGGACCCGCAGTCCCCATGTGCACGCCATGCCCTCCACACTGCTGCACCCCGTGCTGGCACAGCACCCAGCAGACAGTGCCATGCTGGCCTCCCAGTTGCAGCACTGGCCAAATATGCTCCAGTCCCTGCCCTTGAGAAGCACGGACACAAACAGGACCTGGGGCAGGACGGCAGGATCCGGCCCTGCAGTTTTATTGAATCCGGTGTCCCTGGTGTGGGCAGCTCATTCATCCCAGGTGTTCCTGTCAGTGTCGATGGACATGCAGTTGTACACGGCGTACCGCAGCAGGTCCTCACAGGCCTTGGCCCTGGGGGGGGGAACGCTGGGTCACAGTCATGATGGGCATCGAGAGCCCCACACTTCCCTCCCCACGCCTGCCCAGATGTCCCCTGGGGCAGGACTTGTGGAGCCTTGGAGGGGACCCCAATGCCAGCCTCAGGGAGGGGGGGAACATCCCCATCCCCTGTCCCCAGCACTACTCACGAGGAATAGTTGGGCAAGAAGAAGCTGCAGGAGCACGTGGATGCCTGTGGCATCAGGTCTAATGCATTCAAGCTTGGGAGAAAGGAGAGAGAGTCAGACACCAGCACAATGCAGGGACCCCGGCACGGCGCAGGGACCCCGGCACGGGCAGGAAGGACTCACTTTGCCCTTTCTGGGTAGACAGTGATCTGAACTGGGAGGCGGCTCCGGCCAGTGACGAACTTGAGGAAGCGGCTGAGGTCCTCTGAGGGGAAGGACAGGGCTCAGGTCTCAGGGACAGGACTGTCCCAGTCGCTGCCATTGCAGCAGGTACTGCCCTTGCAGAAGCATCCCAGGAGCGCAGGGCAAAGCTAAGAGGTGCTCTCAGCATCCCAGGAAGGGCCAGGCGGGACGACCCCAGCCAACTTCCAGGGAAGCACCTGGTGAGCATCCCTGGGGCACAGGGCAACGGGTACCCCATCCCCTGGCCCACCCTGCTACACATGAAGAGTGGAGAAGGCGTGGGGTCACTTACTGCTGGTGAAGTTGTTGAGCGCCTCCAAGAAGTTCTGGATACGGGTGTCGTTGGCAGCAAAGTCCTCAAATGTGACTGCGACGAGGAACATGCAACAGCTTCGTTAGAAACTCCCAGCAAAGCAAATTAACACAGGACACGTCCATCCCACCCTTCTGCAAAAGCCCAGAGCGGAGGCAGGAGAGGAGGAGACCCTCCGCTCCCAGTGAGCCCCTGCGAGCCCCTGGCGCCCCAAGCGGGGCCGGCACCCTGCGCAAAGGCAGGTGGAGAAATGGGGGTCCCAGTTTGCAGGTGGCCATTCGCCTCTGCTCACAGTTGCCAAGGACCAGAGGGACCAGAGTGGGGCCCAGTACGGTTTGCAGCTAAACCTGAAGCATCCCAGCTCTGTCCAGGATCCCTCTGGCTCATCCTCCCCCAGGCTCCCTGACAGCCCATGACCAGGGACTCAGCATGGGGCAGGATGCATGTGCAGAATGAGCATCGTCGAGGGGAGCCCCTGCTCACGCAGGGGGCTGTGAGCAGCTTTGGGCTGGCCCTGGCACTTACTGAACCTCTGCAGTTCAGCCACTGTGATCTCGGCGTCGCCGCACACCTTCTTCTCCAGCTGCTGCCAGGTGAGCAGGTCCAGCACAGGCTGGGGCACCACGTGAAGCAGCCCGGCACGCATGGCTGCAATCTAGGGGGGCGCACAGGAGGGGTCCCACGTCACTGCAACGGGTCTGAGCCCAGGGCAGCCAGCCAGGGCACTGAGGGCAGGGACCACAGGACCCCAAAGAGGGTCCCTGGGGCTCATGGACATCCTGGGCATGGGATGCATGGAGGAACCGCCCAGCTGGAGCTGGTTTTGGGGACACGTTTTTGCAGCCACCAACCCCACAGGTACCAGGAGGGCTTGCCACAGGGGCAGGGTCCCCTTGGAGCCACTCCAGTTACCTGCTCCTTGCTCTCCTCCAGCCGAGCCCTCTGCACCAGGCGGATGAACTCCTTGCGGTCCTCATAGCGTACCACAGTGCTGCTGCCATTGGGGATCAGCTCCACCACACGCTGGTCGCTCCGCACCATCGTGTAGGTCAGCTCTCTGCCGAACATGAACTCAAAGGCTTCCCTGTCCACCCCCTCCAGCACCTCCAGCAGCTTCACCTGCAACCCCAATGGGCAAAAGCCATTACAGCAGAGCCAGAGCAGCCACAGACGCACACAGCACTGCCCTGCCAGCCCCCAGCCCTGCTCACCAGCTCCATGTCTACGGCGGCAAAGTCCTTGCTCCAGCTGACCTCCTCCCCTGCCAGCTGCTTCCACACCAGTGCCGGTAAAGCCAGGATCTGCCAGAAGGAGCAGAGATGCACATCCTCCCCGTGTCCCTCCTTCACCTGAGGGCAGCCCCTCTGCCCGAGATATGGTGGCCCCCACCAAGTCCCCTCACCGACCAGGGAGACTCTGCCATGCTCACCAGAAACTCCTTGCTCCTCAGGGCTGCTCCCATCAGCTGCCCGATCCACTCATACTTGGGGAAGTCCTTGCAGGAGGGGTTGGGGACGTACATGTCCCTGGTGTCACTGCTGCTGTTACCCTGCAGGAGACAGGCTTAGGACCCATGGACACAGGTGCAACCAGCCCAGCATGGTCCCTCCTGCAGCCTCCCTCTCCATCACCCCTCTGCCTGCTTCTCCTGCCCTTTACCCCTCCAGGAGATCTCCACCGCCTGGGTACAAGAACAGCCCCCCCGGCCAATAGCCCTGCAAGTGTTAAGATGGACTAACACCCCAAAATATTGCAACTGAGGGACGAGCCCCAGGCTCTGCTGGATTTCCACATGGGGCCGGGACAAGCTGACAGCGGGGTGCCAAACCTGGTTAGAGGTGCGCACGAAGAAGGGCAGGGGCACGGGGACATCGCTTGAGCTGGGACACAGCTCCTCCGACACGTCTGACAGGCTATCCCGAAAGCCGCCACCTGCAATGTGGGCAGAGGCTGGTTAGTGCCTGATACACCAGGGCCAGATGCTGAGTCACAGGATCTGGCCAAGCCACCCCCTCTCCATGGGGCAGGGGCAGTGCCAGGGGCATAGGGGAGATGCAGAGACCACCCCACATGTGCAGAGTGGGGCTGCCTCCCACAGAGCAGCCGGGACAGTATGGGCACCCTGCCACAGTGGGCAACCCACCAAGCTGCCCCCCAGCATGAGAAAGCCCAGGGGAGACCCCCAGGCAAGAGGGGAGAGCTCTCACCGCTGTCGACGATGCCCTCGGTGATGAACTCGCACTCCCACCACTGGCTGTAGCTCAGGGGCCACCTGCAGGGAAGCAACAGCCCCATGCACCCCCCTCCTCCGAGAGAGCCAGCAACACCCTGCATCTCCCCACACCCCACTCCGGGGATATGACACCCCACAAATGTGATGTGAAGACCTACCTGTAGTCCAGGGGCTGATTGTTCTTGGAAGATCTGAGGCCTTCGTACAGCTGGAGAGGAGCAGAGCAGAAAGGGGATGAGACACAGCGGGTGCAAGTGATGCTGCATTGGCAGGTACCTGGTGTGGGGCATGGCATTGCCGTACCTGAGTGAAGACAGTGTTCCTGCAGCTGGGGTCCAGTGTGGGGTTGGCACGGTGCACCCGGGCCAGGTGCCGGTTGATGTACAGCTTTGGCAGGGTGGGAGGGGGGATGCTTTCCGAGGACTGGAGACAGTGGGTGATGAGGGCTGCACTCTGCTTGGACAGCAGCAGGAATGGCTTCATGCTCTAGCAGGGGACAAGCCAGGGATGGTTAGAGGCCTGATCCTGCCACTGTGTGCCCTGTTTCCCCCTCCCCAAGCACAGCCCCCAGTGTCGCAGGGGATGCTCAGCTCCTCCATCCCTCAGGCAATGCCCAGCATGGCAGCTCCCAGCAGGAGCCCTGGGCTGGTCTGTCCCCATTGGACCAAGGGGGACATGCCACAGCCCCCAGGGAAACCAGCTGAGCCCGTGATGAGATGCTCCTACCAGCACTGTCCCAGGGGAGCCTGGCAAACACTCACCCTGAGTGCACTGAAGGTGCCGCTGCTGTCCTCAGGGCGGGGGATCAGGTAACACAGGACACTGTCCAGGAGCTGGACGAACCTGGAGACAGGAGAGGAGTAACGTAAAGATGCGAGGGGGTTGGCGGACATGTGGAGCCTGATACACCTCGGGGTTTCACCACAGACAGCCCCAGGCATGCACCGAGCCTGGTCGCCACACTCCCTGCACATGGGTCTCCTCCAGCCCATGGAGGGACACTGGCACACCAAGGGGAGCACCCAACCAGCACCCTCTGGCCAAGCGCTTTATTTTGTATCCCCCAAGAAAAAGCTGCAAACGAGGGCAGCCCAGCCCATGCCACAGCACTGCAGCTGACTTGCTGCAGAGGGTCTCTCCATGGGGCCAGTGCTGATCCCAGTCTGGGCCTGCCCTGCAGGCAGTGGGGTGGGAGGCTCCACATTGCAGGTTCCCCTTGCCCCATGCTGTCACTGTGCTCCCCAGGCACTGGAAGCAGCTGTGTTTGGATGGGGAGCAGCAAGCCAAAGTCCCTGCTGCACATGGGAAAGGAGCTGGCAGACTTTAAGCAAGACATGTGCAAACCCCTGCTAGAGGCCAGGGCACAGTCCTTCTCGGGGCCCGAGCTCGCTGCAGGGACGGTGCTGTCCCAGTGCCGTACCTCTGAATGAGCACGGCCCGCCGGTACAGCACATCGGCGTCCACCCCTTCGAGGAGAGGGTAGCGCACCAGCCGGGCTGGCTGGAACATGTCGGCATTGAGGATCAGGTCCCACTCCCAGAAGGACTTGATCTTAATCCCTCGCAGGCGGACGTTGTACCCTTGGTCTGCCAAGAAAGGACAGCGATGCTGCGTGCGTGGCTGCAGCTGTGCAGCCGGCACGGCTCGGATGTTGCAACTGAGGGCAAGGACCCCCCAGCGCCTGCAGCATCCCAAACAAAGCTCATTCCCCAGTTTTCCTCCAATGGACCCCAAAAAGCAGCCAGTGCAGCAGGAGGAACCGCAGGTGCCGGGACCAGCTGCAGGTTTAGGGCCGAGCTGGGCTGGCAGCCCCAGTCCGGCAGTGCAGGCTCACCCCGGCACTCCAGGATGCGGATCTCCAGCACCGGGAGGTGGGTCTTCATGTCGCGGAGGATGCAGATGTCCTGGAAGCTGTTCCTGCACACAGCACAGAGGGAGATGGCAGAGCTGCGAGGCACAGACACCAGCGAGGTGGCCGGCGAGGCGTGGGCCACTCCAGCTCCCCAGCTGAGGATGCACCACTACCTGTGGCAAAAGCCCCCCCGCCTCACCGGGACTGCAGCAGGAGGGAACCAAGCAGAGCAAAGAGGCTGTCGGAGGCACAGAGACATCCTGAAGAAGGTGGAAGCCACATCCAAAGAGCAGAAAAGAGCATAAATTCAAAGCAGAACAGAAAGGCGAGATGGCCAAGAGCCTGTCACTGTTCCCGGGGGGTCCCGGCACATCTCGCATCAGCACAACCATCCTTCAATCTGAGCTGGTCACACGAGGGTGATGTGTTTTGAAGGAAACAGGGATTTGTGGAGATGAGCAGTTTGGTGATTCACTTGTATTTCCAAAGCCTTTGGCAAGGTCCCACCAAAGATCTACGGGCATGTGGGGAAAAACCACTGAGATTGCCCAGACACAGCGAGGACTTGTCTCCTGCCACCAGGAAAGAGACATCGGTGGTCTCATGGATTCGTCTTCAAAGACAAATCTCAGTGCTCAGCCAAAAAAAGGGAAACAGGCAAGTTTTGGGGAAGGAGGAGGAGATCTTCATACCCCTGTGTAAACCCCTGCCTGCCTCGAGAAGGGTGCTGCAGAGCCAGAATGAAGAGGGAGAGGTGAAGCACTCCAGGACTTCTCGGCTACAGCATGGCGGAGATGCTCAGAAAGGAGACGGCAGTGGCACATGTCCCCAGAGGTGAGGAGGAGGAAAGACCCCCAAAGTCACCAAGCAGGATGAAGCGAGATCTTCACACCCCTGTGTAAACCCCTGCCTGCCTCGAGAAGGGTGCTGCAGAGCCAGAATGAAGAGGGAGAGGTGAAGCACTCCAGGACTTCTCGGCTACAGCATGGCGGAGATGCTCAGAAAGGAGACGGCAGTGGCACATGTCCCCAGAGGTGAGGAGGAGGAAAGACCCCCAAAGTCACCAAGCAGGATGAAGCACACTACAGCCCAGCTGCCGCGGCACAGATGAGGAGCACGAGTGGAGATGAAGGTGCTCGGCTGGCACGTGGAGGCGGGGGGGCCACCATGCTTGCAGGGACAGACATAACCTGCATCCAGGGACCCACAGAGAGCCACCATCACCGCCGGGTCACTCAGGACTGACCCCAGCCCTTTCCTTAGCATCTGCTTGGGATGCAGAGACAGCTTGGTTGTTTGGCCCAAGCTGGATCCAGGCTGCTCCTCGCTCGTTACTCACTCATTAATAAGGACGGTTCTCAGGTGGTGCAGCCTGTTTGGTGCCCCGCCATACACAGCCACCCGCCTGGGTATGTAGGAGTTGGCCTGCCCATCCAGCATCAGCCACAGCTTCCTGGGGACGAGAAGAGCAATGGGCAGCATTGTCCTCCCCTCCCAAGCCGCCTGGGCACAGAGATGCCCCTGGAGATGTCCCAGGGCTGGGGGCAAGGCTATGTCTTCCTGGGGTGCATCTGGCAGCAGCTGATCCCCACCTCAACCCCGAGCCCCCAGCTGCAGCCTGGGAAAAGCTGCTTTCAAGAGGAAGATGGCGTTTTGCCCCACACCGTGCCCATCCCTGGCAGAGCTGCCAGCGGGAGGGGACACCCCGAGGTCTCACTTGACAATGGTGCCTTTCTTCATGTTGAGCCGCACCCAGTGCTGCCCCGGAGGCCCGTTGCTCTCCCAGAAGGTGTATGTCTGGTTGTCAGTCAGATGGGCTGCACCGCAGTCCTCCTGCAAGAGTGCAGCGAGCAGAGGGAGGGAGCTGAGCATCCTTGGGCACACCATGGCCACCCCTGGGATGGGTCCTGTGGGGCCAGAGGAGGTCAGGACCAGGCCAGCCCGTCAGTTTGCTGGGCTGTGGATGGATGGTGGCTCCCACACAGAGCAAGCTGGGCATCGCCATGGACCCCTTGCAGCATCCCAGAGACACAATGGGGTTTTGCTCCAGATGCCCAACTCCTCACAGCTTCGCTTGAGCAGCAAAACCCCACCACCATCCCCTGCCCCTCACAGAGGGCACAGCCACTGCTGGCCACTCCTCCTCGCAGCTGCAGCGACACTTGTGTGTCTTATGCTGATTTTAAGCCATGGAGGAGTCCCGCTACGCACCGCCTGCGAGGACACCTCAATGCTGCTGAGGTGCTCCTTGGTGCAGTCCCTGCGCTGCAGCTCCCTCTCACTGTGATCATACAGGAAGCGCCCCAACTCCAGGTCGTGCTCGTAGCTCCAGCCCGGGGGCACGGACCTGCAGGGGGGCTCTGTGTTAATGGGACAGGGAGACCAGGCTGCACCCCAAACCTGCCCACCAGCACTGGGCAGGTGCCCCAGCTCGGATCGGCTGCAGCATCTCATGGTCACCACATCGGGATGGTGCTGGGCCACTGTCCCTGCCACAGGCAGATGGCATGGCTGTATCTCACCACCACCACAACAGGCATTTATGGCCACCCCAGCCCAGTGGGAATAGCACCACGTGGTTGCTCCGATGCTCTGTGGAGCAAAGGCCATCTTTGCTTGAGCAGCATCGAATGGTATCAATGTAAAAGGCATCTCATGGCACCCATCCTCCCCACTCCTGACCCTGAAGCCAGTCCTGACCCTGCAGGCATGTCCAGGCCCTGGCTGGCTGCCCCTTGGGGTGCTGCAGTACTGCTCTAGGAGATGCACTCGTACCGAAACTTCTGCACCGCGGCCTCATCCTGCTCTGTGAGTCTGGGCTTCTCTCCCAGGCGCATGGAGTACGTCAGGTCCACCACTTGTTCCCAGCTGGAGCAGCACCGATCACACAAGGGAAAAGATGGGTCAGTGCGCAGCATGCCCAAGCATTACTGCCTTAGGCTGGAGCAGAGGCAGCAGCGGTGGGGGACCAGTGACGGCACCCAGGGGCTGCAGGAACAGCTGCAGGAGGGACAAGAGCATCCCTGCACCCAGGTGCAGGCTGGGGCAGAGTGGGGGAATCCAGCCCTGCACATGGCTTTCCATCATGAAAATCAAATATGAGCTCTCTCATCACTGCACTACCTCCGTGACATTGCTCAGCCCAAACCCGAGTGCCTCAGAAACACCCTAGCATCATCTTTATCCTGCGCAGGTGCTGCCACAAGCAAACAGGTGCCTATGAGGGGGCACCCTCCTGCCCGCAGGTGGCTCGACAGGGATGTGTTCCACCTGTGCTGGAGGGAGTGAGGGGGGCTGTGCTGAACGTGCCCAAGGGATTTGGGATGGTTGGGTCGCACATCCTCTGTGGGTACTGGCCACACGCGCCTCCAGCGCACACAGCCCCATCCCTATCTGGGGTGCAGCAGGCTGGGGTCATACCTGACCGCGGGTTTATAATCAACCCCGAGCGTTTGGTGCTGCCACTGGATCTTCTCCACGGACTCAACCGGCACCAACTTATCTCCTCCCTCTCCAAACCTCTGCGCCAGGAGCCAGCCCTCAGCCAGGTCACGGCTGCTCGTGTACTCCTCCAGCTGCTCCTGAAAGGACATCCCGGCTTGTCA